AATCTAGTCAACTCAAGACATCATACACAGTGGAACATTTCTGGATTTATAGGCCCATGAACTTGTTCCAACCTACTTCTGAGATTTCCTTTTCCATTGGCTTTCTCCCCTAGTCTCTACAAGTGCCACCACATCCTCTGCAATCCTGCCATCTAGAATAGCCTGCCTTCAACTTTTGTTCAGATAAAAATTTGTGCCCATTTTCTCCTCAGTAAAAGCCTGGGATACCACCTTCTCTATTCCATAAAGTAGAGAAAGGAAAATTAAACTGCACAAATCCAAAGGACAAAGCAGACAGGAGCAGCGAGAGACGCACAGAGAGACAGAGAGGTGTGGAAAAGACTTTTGCATGCCCAAGTTTCTGAGCATGAGCAAGAAGTCATGTGTTTTGTTTGAGTGTGTTTGCCAGGGTCTGTTCTAACTGAGCCTAATGATCTCCTTTTCCTCTAAAGATGCTTCAGTCTGAAAACATCAAAACTTGAATACTTATTGACACAAACTGTATTGACACAAACTGTACAGAATGGGGCCCCGGAGTCCAAATAAACTCTAGATAAATAGGTTTTAATAGTATCAAATAGTTAGGCAGCAGGTCAAGACAGCAGAAAGCTTTTAGAAGAACTGTTTTTACAAGCAGTAGCTCACATGGAAAATCCAGGGCAGATAATACAGTTTTAGCTAGACAAGCCTGCAAAGTGCCCCTCCTCTCCCTCCTCCAAAAGCAACTCATCATGGCAATGTGGAAATTTTAAGTCAGCCATTGCTATTTGTCAGTTTTATTTTATTTTTTTTTGGGGGGGGGGGTGTTGGTGGTGAAATCTCATCTTTTGGAAGAATGAAGAGAAATGAAAGCCTCTTTCTTAGTGGCTTTTCTTAGCAAAAAGATGACTACACACATCACCCCTTTGCTTGGCTTCAAGGCTTTCCTGCCTACAGGGGAAATTAATGAAGTGCCTTATTCTTAAACTATTTCAGTAGTAAGACAAAGTGAATATATTTGGAAGCATCATTAGCAATCCCAGGGCGGGGAAAAGATGGCCAGGCCCTTGGTATGAAAAAAATCTCACCCTTTCAGTCTTCTCAGAGTTTTCAAATAATTCCCAGCAAATGCAGTGACAGAACAGTGAGACCAAGAAAGTGCAAGTGACAGCTCGCTAAACGGTTTTGAAATGGCAACACAAACTTAGATAATGTCTACCCTGTTCCAGCGATAAGCCCCGTAACACTACAGACTGGTTCAGCGTGGGTAATTAACGCTTTCTTTTTCAGGCTCCGTTTTTACATTAAAAGCACAAGAGTCGTCTAGAAGTGAAACTCATCTGGAAGTTTAGTTCCCACCATTAAAGTGAAGTGGCACTTCCAACACTGCTGGTTTCTGACAGGGGCAGGACACCATACAAATGTAATAGAAAACATCTTGGAATGATACCCAAGGCCGTGCCTGTGGCCCTCACTTCACTGTGGCTGTTGTAATAAGTTATAGTAACTGCCTAACTGAGGGGGATCGTTGCATGGCCGAAGCGTTGTTAAACTAATTGGACAAGTGGAAGTGTATGTAAACTTCTATCTGTGAAACCACTAAAATCCAACTTCCCCACCCCTAATTGGTTTTAAATACTGCACAAAACAGTGCTTGGGGGACACAGAAATGATAATCTGTATGACAGATGAAGGAGAATGCCTAATAGGAACAGAGCAGTGCAGGGAGAGAGAGATAAAAAGTTGTTAACTCCACTGATACATTTTTTTAAAAGTTCCTTTCTAAGATTCCCCAACAAATACCCATTAGCTCAGAATTAAGCTGCCCACATGCACTTCTATCCGCTTAATCCAGGAAATTGCCAGTTACACCCACATGAATGTACTAACCAGCCTCAATTTATGTATAGCCAAGCTAAACACCAGCTCTCCAACACCACCACAAACTAACTTTGAATTCAATCTATACTGACCAGGGCCAACCCTAAGAGAGTGCGGGGAGACTCCTTAACATTTTTATAGCGCGGGATAGAGGCAGAAGTCCTGGCTGTGGCACTGGCACTGAGGGTGCTCCTGCTGGCGCAGCCCGCCCCAGGGGCCACTTGCAGTGTGGGGCAGCCGAGGTAAGGGCTGCACCAGGCTGGCGGGCTGGATCAGGGACTTCCTTGAGGCAGGGACCCTGAGCTGAGCTGTAGTGCCCAGCAGTCTCGCAGGAGCTCAACGCCAGGCTGTGCTGTGAGGCAGGCACTAGGCAGCACCTCTGCCGCCGCCCTCAGAGCCAGGATGTTGAAGCATGGGGCCCCCCAAAGCATGGGGCCCAGGGCAGTTGCCCTGATTCGCCATACCCTAGGGACAGCCCTGATACCGACCCCTACATACACATACTGTGACTCAGACTTGATTACAACAGTGTACAGGCAGCACATCTAAAAGTATGGCCCCAAAGTTAGGGGGTAGATACAAGTATATAGGGGAAGTATCTGCATCTAGCTGACACTGCAGTTCACGTTGTGAGTTTGAGTGGGATTCTGGGAAACAGAATGCATACGTATGTATTCAGGATGGCATGCAGAACTAGAGTCTAAGTATGATAGCTTATTCAGGGATTTGGATAGCAAGGTATGCAAGCTGAACTGGCCAAGACATTGACGTAACTGGCGAGTTTCTGGATTTTTAGTGATTACGTTTTTAGGAAATGAACTTGGGCAATTTGGTTGTAAGCTAATTAAGTTTGTTTTGGAACAGAAACAGTGATGGGGTTTTTTCACAGCTTTTAATTAAGGTTCTCCCAAAGCAATTTTTAAATAGAAGCAATTTAGTGAGATTGAGCTGGCAAGTGTGGTAGCCATGCTGCACTCAGAAACAAGCCCCCACAATGTGGGCTCTTAAAACCTGTATTAGTGAAAGAAGACTCATAGGCAAGATACCAAGGTTAATCCCAGTCTTGGAGGAATGCTGAAAGTACCAATGCAGGAGAGATGTGCAAAGACTAGCAATCATACCATCTCAGTACAGTGATGCTCTCAGCTCCAGCTAAACGGCAGGAGCCACAACCCCAGAGACATGAACGTCACTGTTACAAGCACTTTATAATACTCTTCTCCTCCACCACCCTAGATACACACCAATTAGCTCTGTACTGACCTAAGTTCTGGAAATCTATCTGGATAGGATTGGATAAGCCATTCACTGCTTCTCGCCACATGCCACCACCACCTGGGGACCAGGCAGTCACAACACAGCGATACAGCCCAGCATCGGAAATCTGGGTTTGGTACATCCTGTAGCGGAACTCATTCTCCTGGACCTTCTCCAGGACCACACCGTCCACTCGAGCCTGGTCTTTCCAGTCTTCCAGCTTTACTACCGAATCCTGATTCAAGGAAATTATGCGAGTGGTCCCACTGGGGTTGGACTGGTCTGTCAGAGGTTTCTCTGCTGTGATGAGGACGGAGTAGCGTGGTGTCTTGATATTCTTGGAAGACACCTTGCATGTCATCTCAAAGGTGTGACCTGCCACAAAGAACGACTTCAGTTTCACAGCCTCCACTGTCAGCTTGTAATCTGAAGGAAGTAAGGAAATAAGCAGCAATGGAGGGATTAGTATACAGCTGCCTGCATCACTCTTCAACTTAGATTCCATAGTGATTCACCAGTTAATATACATAGCCACAGAAGACCACCCACTACAGGAGAAGAGTGCAGAAAGCACATAAAAGCACACACAGTGACACAACATAACAGCCAGAGCAGGATCTGAAGCTCAACTATAAGTCTTCATAAACACTGCAGAGAAAAGGCACAACTTACTCAAGTTAGAAAGTGGCCAGTACCATTAGGACTAGTTCCCCTACTTTTGGCAGTGGGGAGGGGCAGGCAAGTGGCCTATTGTATTAGGGCCTGAGTTTTAGCTTATAACTAAAATGACACTTTTGGTAGCAGGCACTGGTCCCGTGCCTAAAGCTCAAAATGAAAACAATCCAGCAGGTAGTTCCACCAGTACTTCTGATTGTATTTTAGGTTTCCCTTAGAGACTTAGCCAAGCAGTGCTTGAGTTTGATTCAGGTTAGCCTGCAAACCAGTTAGGACCACAACATAAAGGGGTTTCCTTGCAGAAATAAAATTTCCCAAGCACATTGATAAATTTGGGGAAGAACTGCAGAATCGCGGCAGTCTACTCATTCATTTAAGTCTGTCAGGAGGGCTTTAGCATCCCTCCAACATATTTTACACAAACAAATTGCAATAACAATATCATAAAAATTACAACTTTGTTCCTTTTCCCCAGCCCCACTCCTTTTTTTCACCTTTCCCCAAATCCATGGGATCCTTAATCTTAAACATCCTTCAATGATGGGATATTGGAGCTGAGCAGAGACCCTCAACATAAAAATATCTGAGCTCAAGAAAAAAAAATTCAGAAAATTATAGGTGAAAAAAGTAAAGTAAAATCTAGTTAATTCATCATAGCAAGGGGATATTATCACCAAGTAATCACCAGTTGTTACCATTTTCAACTTTTCCTGTGTTTTGCATGCCAAATCAAGATGCAGTAAAGAATGATTTTTGACATTTATAATTAAAAAATATTACAAAAAACGAAAATTGGACACAATCTGGTTACCCATATAAGAATCATAAAAGATTACACAGATAAATGTGTAATGTAAAGTTTTTTTATTAAAAAAAAATTCCGAGTGCTCCATACATGATGAGAATTACATGATTTATAATGAAGTAAAATAATTAGTCAAAGATTTTTGCTTTGCTTGATTACATTCACTCACTGCCCAAAATAAAAGATAATTCTGCAGAATAGAACAGTTGATCATTATGTCTTGAGCCAAGAATAGCTGATAAGTATCCAATGCTTTGCGAGCATCATTTGGCTTTAGAGGTGCTATGGAGGATAGCTTTTAAGCTATTTATCAGAAAAATTCTATTGTGATTTAGTAGGCATGCACATTTAGAAACGACTACTTATGCTTCAACAGATGACAAGTTAGCCTAATGAATAAGATCAAAGTGATAAGTTATCTCAGCAAACAATTAAGTAGATTTATGGGTCAATAAAGACTAGGTACCATGTACATAATAATTGCCTCAAAAATGGGTCTCTTAAGACACCAAAAGACCACAATATCTGAGGTCAGGTTGGCACACAGAAGCTATCCCAATATCTGTAGTATTAATTTTAAAAATTCCCTCCTCCTCATTTATGGTCATATGGTCCATTATGTATGGATTTACTAGTTTAGCTTGCCTGGGTAAATGCTGTTTAACTAGTAAACCTTCAATGTTTAGTCAGGTCTTTCTGCCAGGGTTTTGAAGAATTACCATAAGGTCTTCATGGCCAATCCCATGATGCAGAAAGCAAGGCTATCAGGTGACACCAATAATATCCTTCCTGCATCTCTGACTTGTGGATTGTGAATCTCATGAGTTCCTGTAGCCAGAGTGAGTATATATTCACTATCTTGTGCATAATGAAACCAAAACTGTTTATTGGTTTACCTTGCCCATCCCCTCCGAAACACAGGTGACTGTTCCTTTTTAAGTGTAATGCCTCATGGCCATTTAAGACCATATTAACCTGGCCTGGGTGAGTATGCCTTCAAACCACATTTCCTACTTTCTTACAAAATGTGAATCTCCAAGATTGATGAAGGCACAGGATTCAAGGAATCCATCAAGAAAACCAAGAAATGCCAATGTTAGTAATCATGAACCAGTTCACAATTTTGTGCTGTTTCTGCTATAGTGCATTTTCTTTATAGAAAGAGACTGATTGGATATTAAGACACAGTCCACTTGCATACAGGCTAAAACCTTAAGACCAGAGGGAAATAAACTATGGTGAGATTGCAACCCCCTCCCCCAAAATTTAACCAATTCTGGGATACTTGCCTTCTCCCCATGAGAGCAAAAACAAACTTATGATTACATTTTGCAGTGTTTTGCCTTCAAGGAAGCAGTGTGCACAATGCCTAAACATAACTCACAAGTGAGGAATTTGGTATGAACATTTTAAATCTAAGTAGATCACAGTTCCATCCTATACAAAGTAATTTCAGAAGAAAAGGAGCAAGGTTTTCTACCAGCTATCTGGCTGAGCGTAGAATTATTTTTATATTCTAAACAAAAAAGAGTTCAGATTAGTAGAGATATTCAATTAAATGCTCAGAAGTCAGTAACACCAAAATGACTCAAGTCTTTGCTCTCCTGTCCATACACACTGCAATCTAATCATATGATTAGGTATTTTTCAAATCCATTTTATCTTACCATCTCTGCAACAATTTGAAGCTATTATTTGTATTGTTGTAGTTTTAAATATAGTGCACAATACTGTCTTTGGGACAGAGACTATATGCTAAAACAGAAAAAATGGATACCTCTGTAGACCCAACTTTTAAAACTACTTATCTTCTAATTTTTCTTAGACTGATCATCCATTATATCACAGACTCAAAACCAGGCTTTTAAGGCATAGATTCATAGATGTTAGGGTTGGAAGGGACCTCAATAGATCATTGAGTCCGACCCCCTGCATAGGCCGGAAA